CAGTATGAGAAGAAAGATGAAATGGATAGAAACCATGTTTGACAGGACCTTTAAAACATATTATCCCCGAAGAAAGGTCATTCACAGTGAAGTGAGAATGATAAAGATGCATAGAACAATAATTATCAATTAAAAATTGATTGGCAGAAAGAAGGTTATGTTTCAAATCAGGCACATATAACATATTTTTTAGTGTAAAACTGCTATGTGAAGTTTTAATAGTAAAAGAACCAGAGTGAGTGATAGGAAAACCTTTTCCATCCCCAATGTACACTTGTTCAGGGCATGTGTAAGCTTCAGGATTATGGAGAGTGGCATAATTGTTGGTCATGTGGGAGGTTGCACCAGAGTCAACAAGCTATGTAGGAAAAGAATTAGAAGTGCTGGTAACCAAGGCAGATTGAGATGACTTGCCACTGTAGTGAGGATCCAGGTGATGAGGGCAATCACAAGCTTCATGGTCAAATTGGCGACAAATTTGACAAGAAAGTTTCCTGTTAGATGAGGAAAAATTGTTCCAAGTTCCACGATTGTAATGTTGATTGCTACCATGGTTGTAATTATTGAATCTTTGATTATTATTTGTCCTGAAATTTCCACGATTGTTGTAGTTGCCTCGATTAAAATTCTAATCCATTCCACGACTTTGACTGTTGAAAGTAGATGAATTATGAGCAACATATCCTTGAAAGTTAGAATTGATAGGCAGAGGAAGAATACCAGTTGAGGTGTTGTAGGCTTGAAAGGATGATGTTGGTGCACTTTTCTTTCGATTATTCAATTGGATCTCTTTGCTGAATAGCAAACCATGTAACTCATCAATTGTCATAGAATCGAGGTGAAACTAAATTGCATCCACAAAAGAATCAAATTCTAGAGGTAGTACGTGGAGAATAACAGAGACTAATTCAGAATCTTCGACTAGAGCTCTAGCACTGGCAAGAGTATTAGCGATTTCCTCAATGTGTTGAAGATATTGAGCAACAGTGAGATCACCTTTGGTTAGACTACAAAGACAAGATCAGAGTTCGTGGATGTGAAAATGTGAGGCGGTTGTAAGATGCAATTCCAATTTAGCCCAAAGTTCTCAAGCTGAGCATACTCCAATAATATAGGGAATTAGGGATTTAGAAAAAGTTGAGTTGATCCAGATGAGAATATTTTGATCATTCCCAAACCAAGCAACATAAGCCGGATTAAGACTGCGATTACCAGAAGAATTAGTGAGAAATTAAGGTGGTGCCGGCGAAGATTCATCAATCAGACTCGTGAGATTATACCGACGAAAAATTAGAGCGAAGATAGTGCTCCATGTCAGGTAATTGGTAGTGGTGAGCTTAATTGGAACCATAGATCTGATGTTCTAAATTGTAATGGAAACAAAAATCGAAGAATTAGGGTTTGAGGGTGCAGTCGGAGGAAGAACTTGAGAATCCGATTTCGATGAAGGAGAGGCAGATGTCGCCAAGGTTAGAGACGAAGACTTGAGAAATCACATAAACGATCAAGATCAGAAAGACGGTCGATCAATCTGCAAGAATCGAAGATAGAGGTCGTGAGACGTCGGCGGGTGATACCATATTAGGAAAATATATTTTCATTTCACAAACATAATAAAGTTACACTTTGAGTATATATACAAGTTTTGAAAGCCAGTTGTACAGTAACATCTTTCTAACTAAAAAAAATCTTATCATAACAAACTAATAGTTTCCTTAACCTGTAAGTATTATCCCTAGAAGATGAGTTTACAATATTGCCCTTAATATAGACTAGCCTAGACTATTAGAAAAGCGTTTTGAGTAGTGTTAGACTAAGAAACTTGACTAACAATAAATTATTATTATATTTCAATTTATTTTCTATTAAAATATTGAAATGAATATATGGAAAAATAAAAGGGCCCTCTGCTTCTTCTTCCTTACGAATTGCAGGTGCTTCTCTGCAACTTGGAGAATTATCGAATTTTCAATAACAAAGCTAAGCCCCAATCAAAACCCAAAATATAGAGATCCATGTTCCAATAATGAAGAGAAATTTTTTATTATTACAAATAAAAAATACCCTAAAAAGACCTAATTAATTGATGGTGCTCCTCTCGCACCCAGGTCTAATACCCAAACCTATGGATGCGGCTAAAGATAAACATGGATGGATTTGCTAAGGCCGTCGTCAAATAGTCAAGCTTGATTAGGCAAGAAATCGTGAGACAGTATAATTGATTCGGTTTGAGATTCGCATCGGAAACGACCTCGGGGAGGGAGTCATCACTAAATTTGTCGAATCTAGTTAAGGGAGGGAGATGGAGAGACAGAGAGATGAGGAACGGAGAAGAATGAGATAGCGTTGTGAGGAAAGCGTTCTTAGCAATCCCATGGTTCAACGTCAGACTAATTTTAACGACCTAACAAGGCTCAGAGTTCGCACGAGTTGGGGCTAGTCTGACTTAAGTTAGTCCCCAAGCATATCAAACATGGGACAATAATCCTAGCTAGTCCAATCCCACTTAAGAAGGTGAAACAAACACACCTTCAAAGTTCTTAAATGTATAAATTACTGTGAATATCTTTAGGGACAAAAAAGAGAAATAAGAATTCTTAAAAGTAGAAATACAAAAGTTTGACATAGAATTAAATAAGTGTTAAAAGTAGGATGTGTACAACCAAATGTCTGTCAGGGGAGTGAGAAATTTTTTTAGTGTACCGAGAATACGGCTCGGTATATCAAGTGTTATAATATAAGTGATTGTAGTAGTGAATTGAGAAAAAATTATTCAGAAGGTCACATGAAAAATTCACATACATTTCTTAGACATATAATAACCTTAAAATCAAGACATGATTCCATCATTCATAATTTATAGAACAAATAACAATTGTCCACGACGCATATTCATATTTTGAAAACTTTGGATTATAGCTTCATTGTTTAATGAATGAAAAAGCATTGCTCTCTATATAAATCATCATGCTATCACTCAACCATTTATCTCTCATTCGGTTACATAATAGACTTTTCATAATATTTATAGTGGAAAAAGCTCTTTCCACTGAAGTAGTAGCAACCTGTAGAATCAAAGCCAATGTAATTAGCAAATACACATGATTATATATTATGTTCCTTCCTTCTCTACCATTTTTTTTAGGAAATTTTAACGAAACACTCCCGGTACTGTTCACTTTTAACGAAAAACCATATTTTTATCTTTCTCTGGTACCGTTTACTACACCTTTATTTGTCATTTTTATTAAAACTAAAGTTTTTTTGGACTTTTTGTTAGTTTTTTTTTTTCCTCCTAAGGCTACCAATTTCTTTTAATTAGGAAAATTACTACTTGAATGCACATCAAGAATATCATGCCTAAGTTGATATGTTCTTTAAAATAATAAGAATAGGAGCTCCTCTTTGAGGCATTTTATCAGGCGTTTGGAGGGCATATATGAAGGACAACTCCAGCCTTTAAAGGGACTGCACCAAGTCATTCATGTAGCTTCACCGAAGTTCGGGAGGTCAGCTGACCCCCCTTCTTTTTTTTTTCCCTTCACTATATCCGCAAGTGAGTGATTGGATACTTGAAATAAAAAAGTTCAACCACTTATATTATAAACACTTGATATATGAATCAGTGTTCCTGACACATTGAAAATTTTCCATATAAAAGTGTTGTCTAACTATTAACATTGCAGTTTTATTTTATTTTATTACAATGGTATATTTTACACTAAGGAGAGGAGAAGTTTAGCTAAGCCACATAATGGGCAACCTAATTTGGTATCGAACTCGCCATCTACGAGATTATAAATTTAAAACCTCTCACTTACAAGTGAAGAAGAATACTACTAGACCGTAATACTGAGTGACATTAACATAATTTAACTTGGTCTGACACAGTTTTTCAAAGTAGAGAAGTGATTTTTTCACACCCTTTTTTAATTATGGCCTTTGATTTTTTTTTATTCTTTGTTCAATTATAAACCATAAGAAAGAAGGTGCATCCACAAGGTGAAAAAGAATGTATGAAATTATTTTCCTTCACAGTAAACTAACCTTGACTACACTGAGCAGTGGGTGTGCTATCTATACACTCAATTTTACTTCTTACAACCCTTTGTTAATTTCTATCCGTTGATTTTCTTCAATTCATCCGATCCGACATGCGAAAATTAGAAAAGTGTGTGAAAAGTAAAATGGGGTGTGTGAATATCACACCCCAAACTAAAAATATAACTTGAGTTATTCACATTTTAACTTAAAATTTCGCCACAAATAAGAAGGTATATGAGTTTGTGAAGCATTGTCCTCCATTTGAAAGTTAAAATCTTTGCATAAAATTATAAGACTTGGGTCATACTTAGTATTGTGAATTGATTTTGGAGTGAAACTCCAATTTCCCTTCCACTAGGAGCTAAAAAATGATGTAGAAACTGGATTGAATAATACATAATACCGATATACATGTGCGCGTAATTGAGATTATAATTTTTTTAGCTATCTATTTTTGTTATGGGAATTGTTATTGACACTCCAAAAATCTCATTCTACACTTCAAACTTTCTATATTTGGAAAGAAAAATACACTTATGAGAAGTACCAATAACGCTTCCCTTTGTTATTTATCTATGTTAAACTCTTCAGTGAAATCAGGGTATATCCTAGAAGATAAAACACCGACAAATGGTGCGGTCACCAATACACATGCACTCTTGGCTCCCATCTCTCAACGAAACCAAATCAACATTGTCTTTTATATATACCCTGGTCAGCTGGACCAGTTGCTTCACCGGTCTCCCATCTCTCTTCCTTAACTAAATTGCCTCTGCAAGTGCCCCAGATTTCCATGAAGTAGCAGTCAACATATCATCAATATTAATATTAGTATTGAGACTTGAGAGACTTGAGAGGATATGGCAATTCCAATTCCAATTTCAGTTTCAGTTTCAGTGCGAGTTGCATTTACCATCACTACTCTCCTTCTCATGCTACTGCATTCGAAAGGTAGTGTAGCAGTGTCCAAAGAGCAAACAAGCTGCACGATGTGCAATGAGTGCCCCAACCCATGCCCCGCGCCATCTCTACCTCCACCATCGCCGCCACCACCAGTTATCATTGAATGCCCACCACCTCCTGCGACTCCTCCTTCACCACCACCATTGCCACCACCACCAGTTATCATTGAATGCCCACCACCTCCTGCGGCTCCTTCATCACCACCACCAGCTCTCCCTGAATGTCCACCACCACCTCAACCTCAACCACCACCACCTGTGCGGCCTCCGTGTCAAGACACTTGCGGATCCTCCTCCTCTCCTCCCGCGGCAGGTGTTCCCTCATTAATCCCGAATCGCCCTCCATTTGCGCCCTCTATAGGACCACCAAGCCTTTATCCTGTGAATCCTTACAGTCCCCCGCCACCTTATTTTTCTAAATCGGTTCATTTGAGAATGCACTTCCACCCTCATAGTCTTACTTCCATATTTGTCTTGTTCACTTTTCTTTGCTTCTTCTTCTTTTAATTGTCAAGTAATTACGTACAAATAACTGTCAAGTAGCTAGCTAGATATATATATATGTATGTATCTAGCCAGTATATGTGACAATATATGTCCCTCTCTTATTTCTCTATGTATTGATCTTTTACAATTCTTTAATTTGGAAAATCATCTCTAGCTCTAGCTAGTATTAGTATTACTTGATATTTATCATGCATGCACGGCTGCGAACCAGGCCGGTTGACCCTCTAATTGACTAGCTAGGACGCATGCATGTAATATAATGTAATGTATAGTGTATATTGCCCCGGACGCGTGTTCTCTCGTTCATTAATGATGCGAGCTTCCAAGCTAGCTACTGGAAAAAAGAAAAAGAAGAGAAAGCAAGCCATTTGCATGTAATATGATTTTCCACTTTTGAATTCTTATAGTTAATATTTCTATTTCGTGTAACTCTTTCACTTACTGACTTCATCCTTATATAGTTGGTGAATGCCTGTTATTAATCCATCCTTCTTTCAAATCTCTGTAATTGCCTTTTTCTTTTCTTCCAATGCGCGCTTAAGATTTGGGACAATTCTCTACTCTCTATTTCTATAAGCATATCAAGACTCACTACGTATAGGTACTTTGATCACGACACGCTTCGAAGATAAGACTATGAAAAAGGGCCACAGAAATAGATTCCTTACTTGAAAATGGAAAGTGTTTTTTTTTTTCCCTCTCATATTCAATTATTATTTTAATCAGAAATATTTCATTTATCATATAAAACGAGAAATATCATCGACAAGGAATACAATTTCATGTTTACAAGACTATACACAACATTAGCCACATAATAATCTTGCATCACCACCTACTAATGAATTTGCAAAAGACGATACTCCTTCGGCACAAAATCATTCAATGAGACATCACGAAAAACTCCATCACCTGCAGGACCTTGCAAAGACAAGCAAGAAAAGAAAAAAAAAAGGCTTTAAATCCCCTCAAACCACCATAAAGGCACAATGAGGTAAAGACTGCTATGAGTCACCTCCAACAAACATCAAGTCCTTCGCCAATCACACAAGCCATAAAACCACCACCTCCAATTTGAACAACACTCACTGCTCTAAGATCTAAGGATTAGTAGTAAGTAATGACTACCACAAAACACTCTCCTCATCAAAGAACGAGAGTGACTACAACTACGAAAAACTCTTCTCAAACGACCAAGATAATAAAAAGATCATATTGAAAATGGATAGCCAAAAAATCACATATCAAATCTCACTATAATTAAAAAAAAAAAAAAAAAAAAACTTTCTTGTCTTCGTCGAATAACCATTTGCTTTCAATGACAACGAAACATCGATCATATATAAATTAATCAGAGCAAAATCACAGCTGCAAATTTCCATGGATAGTACGTGGTAGGGTAGGCAATCCTCTCCTCTAAAGAAATATGTGCAACCAAACCAACAACGAATCCTAGATCTAGTGTTGGAAATTGCATTCTCTTGAACTTTAAGATTTAGATTTCTGAATTCTAGTTAATGTAGCGCTTGATTAAGTTAAGGATAAAACCAAGAAGCGAGACAATGCAAAACTCAATTTGACACGAAAGCTCTCCCCTCCTTAACCTTAATGTCCGTGGAAATGGGATGGAACGACTGACGGCACACTCGTCTCCTCAACACACATGAAATATTACGCCACTTTCGTCGTCCTTTTATCATTCACGATAACATACTAATATATGGAACTCTTGCATTGCACACATGTACTTCCTATTGTATTTTCCATTAATTATTAAGTTGAAAATGGAGTCGGACTATGCCCTTTTTTTTTTCTTTTTTTTTTTTTTTTTTTTTTTTTATCCTTTATCTCCACTTCAAATCAAATGTCTTTGCGTTATGTTAGGAGACTAAATTATCCAATTATCAATACTTAGGTAATAATTTAATTATCAACTTCTATGTTATTTAATTTATAAAATATAGTCCAAACATTTAGTCTTCCATAGCATTACCCAATGTCTTTGCTGGAATAAACTAAATGATGTGCCACCAATAATAATGAGCACGTTTATCAACATTTAAGTAATAAACCAATCATCAACTTTTATTTTTTTTATTTTTTTAGAGGACAACTGGTGGCAAGCCACGGTTATCCATCTATTTCAAGGGCCGGGAAGACTCACAGAGGCATTCTTTTAGTTTTCAAAATTTTGTCTACAATTTTAATCTTATTGACACTACCTTAAAAATTAAAATAAAACTAATTAGACAAGTAGCTGGGTTTGGAGAAAATTTAGAGGGGTGCAGTCAACTTAGGATTTGAAAGGATTTTAATATATTTTGTTAAGTGATGAATTTATAGGATTATGAGACTTCTACAAAATCCATATGGATTTTGGAAGACTTGAGAAGATTTATATAACAGATTTACGTTAATTTTGATAGATTTTACAGCGTTGAATCTTACTCGTCAAATAAATCAAATGATGATAAATGTATCTATGTCATGAATCTACTAAAATGAAGCTGAAATAAAAAGTCAAGATTATCACATAAATCCAACTACTTAAAAGTCTCCAGCTGCACCCCTTTCCTTCCTCCCCACTTTATTCTTCTCTCTTTTCCGTTCCAGCTAACCTCTGTCCTCCAATCCTTTTTTTTTATTTTTTTATTTGTCAATTCTTCTGTAATCTTGTTTTCCGCAACTCTCTCTTACTCCTCTTCCTTCACAACCCAATTCCAATTCCGCTTCTCTGCCATGAAGAAAAAATTGCACAAAATTGCAAAAAGAATTGTAGAAAAATTGCATAGGCGAAATAGAAAAATTGCAGAGATAAAAGAAAAAATTGCAGAGATGAAGAAGATAAAGTGTGAGAGGAAGAGGGAGAGGTTCTTGGATTTGAAATCCTAAGGTGTCAGGTAGGATTCTATTTGATCTTGGTTATATATACTTTTTACTTTCAAATCCCCTAAAATTCACAACTTAATGAAATCCTACAAAATCTTTAATTTTTCAATACACTTAGATTTGGATGAACTTTAAAAATGATTATTAAAATCTTGATTGACTACATCTAGATTTGCATGGATTCTAAAAATCCTTTAAAATCCTTTCGTTAACTACAATAAGATTTTAAAATCTTTTAAAATCCTTTCAAATTCAAGTTTGACAACATCCTCCTTATTATCGAGGGGGAATCGAACGGCGATGATCAAAACGCAGCTAGCCGTACCATGTCCCCCCACATTCAATATCGACAGCGACACGCTTGTGATATAATGTGGACAGTGACACGCTTGTGATATGCAAATACAGGTAAGCATCAAGCCTCCCTCATTTATGTTCAGTAGATCACCACCCCTGACCCCTCCTACTCCTCCTCCCCTACCAGACTTAACTATTATAAACGTAATATATTTATTAGAATCGCTTTTCAACCCGTCTCACCCACCTTTCTCTCTCTCTCTCTCTCTCTCTCTCTCTCTCTCCCTCCATCTGTCACAAATTCACAATTCTCAAACCCTTCTAACAAATTAAGAAACGAGCGGCAGCGGCCGCCATGGAAGGTGTCTCTACAAGCGTTCGCAAGGTTTTGAGAGGCTACTGGAGGAGGGGGAGAGGCTACGAGAAGCTAAGTGGTCGACGGCACAAGAACCGGACGGAACTGGGTTCGATCCGTAAAAGGCGCGTATGTCGGATCCGGATCAAAATCGCTCCGAAGCTGAGCTTCCTCAGAAGAATCCCTTCGCCCAAGAATTTGTTGGTGTGGCTACGGGACGCCTATGTCAAGCTGATGCTGGGATTCGCTAACTCGCAGGTCTTTAGTACCGGCTACGGTGGGTTCGTCTGCGACTACGGGGTCGGCTCCTTTGGAAAGGGTCCAGTTAAGGAGTATGATGAGAAAATGATCATCGAGATCTACAAGTCCCTGATGCTGGCGCAAGGTCAATTGGTGCCCCGCGAAGCACCCAAGCTCGGCTCAGAAATCATTCACCACCGGCAGTAAATCTAGATGAGAATATCACTTCACCTGCACCAAAAATAAATAAAAATTCTCTTATTTCATTTGTTTCCTTTCCCCTTATTTTATTTTATTTTTTATTTTTATTTTTTCTGGTAGTTTTATTTTGAGTAACCTTTGATTGTAACGGGTAGATTTGAAAGCAGCTGGGAATAAATTAAATTGATAAAATGTCATGATTAATGAATTAATTCGTCTTTGTTCACTTTCTTTGTTCATCAACTTCAAGCAGATTAATTAAGCAATAAGTATTTTTCCTTGCTGGAATAATTAATCCAAGTAAATTAAAATGCACGTGGTTGGCCCTATATAGGAGGTTTTAAGATAACGAAAAAGTAGGGATTAGTTGAGGGTAGGGATATTTGGATTGGGAACAGATATGCTATAATCATCCTCATAATCACGAAAATTAATCATATTTATCGGGTAACGGATTCTTTATCGGTTAACGGTTATATTCATCTTCGTCAATACCAAAATTATATTAGATACTAATTTCGTCATTATAATATAATAGATACATTTGTTTATGTTTGATCTCTCCCATAAGCACCATTAGATTTTCATTGGTTTTGATTCAAAACTTTTGAACTTTCTAAGAAAATCCAACTTTTGTAATTGTTCAAATAATGAGTTCGATGAATATGCATATATATATTACAATTTAGTAATATTTATTATATGTAAATTAAATTATATATAATATGTATTATTCGGGTCGATTTCGGAGATGGATACAGATCGGAGATCCTTATAACCATATTCGTAATCATAACTAAATAATATATTCGATTTTTTCGCATATCCGAAATATAATCGAATTTTCATCCCCAAATTCATTTCATTCGAGTGGTTATCTACAGTTGTTAGGTTTAACGGTTTAAATTGACATCCTTAATTATGGGGACTACATCAGATCAAACTTAAAAACTATTTGAACGTTTTATTTTTCAAATTGTGTATGTTAACCCTAAAAACTACCAAGCCTATGTGGCGTGCATACTGAGTAACTAATAAGCTAACTACGTCATTTGGTTGTGTGCGGGGTGTGCCAACTCGTCGGCCGAGTTCAGCCGGTGAGTAAAATATGTTGATATGGCGTCGGGTGCGCTGCTGACTTCTTGATATTGCGATTACAGCCGAGGAAGGAACACGTCTCGGCCTTTGGGTTCTAGAACATGAAGACAAGGTTGCTAATCTCTTTGAAGTTCACAAATCGTCGGTGCGGAGTTCGGTCTCAGTAATTATATTCGTGAGAGTATAAGTACGCCGAACTGGCACCAAAATGTACGGGCACAAATACTCGAAAAAGATAAATATCTTGATTGTAAAAGTGGTTCGACCATCGAAATGCCGAACTCTAAAATGTACTTGTGAATATCCAATCATAAAATAAAACTCGGCTTTCAATGTGCCGAGCCTAGTAACCTAGTAACACCTCACTTCACCGAGAAGGCTGATGAGATGACCTCTACTAATAA